CTTTTAAGGCATGGTGGCGTGTGGATTACTTGGTGTCGAATCAGGTGTCAAAGCATTACACAATGACACTCTAGCATTGTTAAAAGATTACAATGTACAACATTACCAGACTAAGCACTCATTACAATACTCTCAACTCCTAGGAGAGCAATGGTTAGCAAAATTAGAAAATTTAAAATAGAATATCTTATCATAGCAGGAGTCTTCACAAAAATAAAAAATGAAAATGAGCCTGTAGCCAAAATAAGTTTCTAAGTGCCTCATTTGTTAGCCTATCAAGGAAAGCCATTCCTTGATGGTGTGTTAATTAATCGTGTTTGGTTGCAGAAGTTAAAAAAAAAAAAAAACTCAAGAAAAATCAACTTGTTTAAGACCATTAGCCTTTCAGCAAGAACGGTGGCTCAGAGTTGAGGACATTGGAAGCAACATCACTAGCCAATTAAAAAACAAAGCAGGCCAGGTGCGGTGGCTCACGCCTGTAATTCTAGCACTCTGGGAGGCCGAGGCAGCGGATTGCTCGAGGTCAGGAGTTTAAAACCAGCTTGAGCAAGAGAGAGACCCCATCTCTACTATAAATAGAAAGAAATTAATTGGCCAACTAATAAATATGGAAAAAATTAGCTGGGCATGGTGGCGCATGCCTATAGTCCCAGCTAGTTGGGAGGCTGAAGCAGGAGGATCGCTTGAGCCCAGGAGTTTGAGGTTGCTGTGAGCTAGGCTGATGCCATGGCACTCACTCTAGCCTGGGCAACAAAGTGAGACTCTGTCTCAAAAAAAAAAAAAAAAAAAACCAACAACAAAGCAAATGATTTCACTGGTCTTCCTGGCTCGTCGTTGACTGATATTAACCAATACTGCTTAATTGTTGTTGTTTACTCAAGGAGTCTGTGCTGAATTTAAAGTGATTGAAGAATTAGCCTGTATGCATAGTCTGTGTGGAATAACTGCAGATGAGAATATTTTCAAAGAAATCAAGAAAACACTAATTAAATACATCCTTAAGTAGAGTCTGCTATGATGCACTATAAATACTTATGGAGTCGAAGGCTTAGTTATACAAATGTACAAAGTTTGTGAAAATGTAATTTGTTTAAATCCTATGGTTATTCATTGTGTTATATTAAACAGAAGGTACTTTGCAGGAAAATATTTGAATCTATCTTGTGTTATTGAACCAGTAGTGTCAACAGTGAACTTCATTCACTCTTGTGGACTAAAATATCATAAATTCCATGGATTTTTTTTCAGAAATAGAAATTGAATATTTATGACTTGTCCTACCAACAGCAATTTAATGGCTTAGCAGTGGTCGAATTTTATTGAGACTTTATTGAGTTCAGGGCTGAGATTGAAAATTTTCTAAATGAGAAGAACCACCCTCAACTACTATTATCGAACACTGAATGGTTTTTGAAATTAGCTTTTCCTATAGACTTGATAATGTCTCTTAATGAATTTAACCCAAAATTACAAGGCAAAACAGTGCCTGTATGTGAAACTTATACTACAGTGCAGTCACTAAATGACAACTAACATTGTTCAAATCACAAGCAATGTCAAGTTCTGTTAATCACTTCTTGTGGAGTCAAAAGTTAAAACAAAAATCAAGATTTGCATCCCCACACAAATTTGCAGTGGATATATTTCCTGAGCTCAAATTACCATTCTAGCAGCATTTTATGGACCTTGATGCAAGTGCAAAGGAAATGTCTATATTTCAAAATCACTACAAAAAATTAAAAATAAAAGGGGGCCAAGGCATGGTGGCTCATTCCTATAATCCTGGTATTTTGGGAGGCCAAGGTGGGAGGATTGCTTGAGGTCAGGAGTTTGAGACCAGCCTGAGCAAGAATGAGACCCTATCTCTACAAAAATATAAATAAATAAAAATAAGTAAATAAAATAAAATAAAATCAATTAACTGTGCAATTGAGGAACTTCCACCTAAACGTCAATTGGAAATGATTAATCTGCATTGTAATGACATGCTAAAAGGCAAATAGCAAGAGAAGAATATAATAGAATTCTATAAATGCCTTCTAAGAGATGAATATTCTCAATTAGAATCATAGGCTTGTTGATTGATATCAGTAAATGGTAGTACTTATCTGTGTGGAAAAAAATTTTTCAAAGATGGCCAGGCGCGGTGGCTCACGCCTGTAATCCTAGCACTCTGGGAGGCTGAGGCGGGTGGATTGCTTGAGGTTAGGAGTTCGAAACCAGCCTGAGCAAGAAAGACCCCGTCTCTACTAAAAATAGAAAGGAATTAATTGACCAACTAAAAATATATATACAAAAAATTAGCCGGGCATGGTGGTACATGCCTGTAGTCCCAGCTACTTGGGAGGCTGAGGCAGGAGGATCGCTTGAGCCCAGGAGTTTGAGGTTGCTGTGAGCTAGGCTGATGCCACGGCACTCACTCTAGCCTGGGCAACAAAGCGAGACTCTGTCTCAAAAAAAAAAAAAATGAGATGCAAATTTCATCTGTTAAAGCTTATCTTTAATGAGATTTTATGTATTTGATCTTTTTCTTTTTTTTGAGACAGAGTCTCACTCTGTTGCCCAGGCTTGAGTGCCGTGGCATCAGCCTAGCTCACAGCAACCTCAAACTCCTGGGCTCAAGCGATCCTGCTGCCTCAGTCTCCCGAGTAGCTAGGACTACAGGCATGTGCCACCATGCCCGGCTAATTTTTTCTATATATATATATTAGTTGGCCAATTAATTTCTTTCTATTTATGGTAGAGACAGGGTCTCGCTCTTCCTCAGGCTGGTTTTGAACTCCTGACCTTGAGCAATCCGCCCGCCTCGGCCTCGCAGAGTGTTAGGATTACAGGCGTGAGCCACCGCACCCGGCCTGCATCTCATTTTGACGATAGGGAACATTCCCTTTGAGCCCCAATTACATGAAATATTATCCCCCTCCATAAAAGAATGCCATTCTTCTCACTAGTAGACCTGTATTACAAAAAAAGTATAGTCAATTATTAATATTATGTTTTGAATTTTGTCAATAAAACATTTGTGGAAATATTTTTCTCTGTTATTATATAAGTACCTAAACAATATTCTTGATTTTGCGTGTTGGCTCTCATAACCTAAAATATTTATTCTCTAGCAATTTACAGAAAAAGTTTGCCCACCCTCATGCTAAACTAAGCCACATGAGGAGTAAGACTATGTATAATTGATCACTATATGACCAGTGTATAGCAAAATGCCTGACACATAATAGATCCATAAATATTGAATAACATATAATCATAGGGATGACATTGGACTAAGACCTAAGGAACAAACATTGTGATTCTCTAAGACTTAAATTTATATTTCTTTTATACTTTACTTAATTCATGTTTGTTCAAGAACTGGTAGACTGCTTTAAATGCTGATTGGTTTATGTCTTGTGTATCTTGAACACTACACTTCTTTCAGTGAAACTGTCAATTTTCTAGTCACAAGCTCCTGCTGGCTTCAGTAAGGTCTCTGGCAAAAATCTACTATTTTGGTCCCATCACTTGAATTATTGAAGTTGGCCAATGTAAACTGTCTCAAGGTCCTTATTCTGAATCATCCAGGCTCTTGTCCTCCACAAAGAGAATTCTGGCAGAATTTCTGAGTTGGGGAAGGAATGGCAAAAGATGTTCCCTTATACCTAGGGCGGACAGGATTATTAAGATTTCCATACTTGTAAGTCACTCACATGATTAGGGTCTAGTGTTCAGAATATATAAAAAACTTTTACAACTCAACAATAAAATGACAAATAACATAATTAAAAATGGGCAAAGGATTTGAATAACCATTCCTCCAAAGAAGATATATACATGGCGAATACACACATGAAAGGATGCTCAACATCTTTAGCCATCAGGGAAATGTAAATCAAAACTACAATGATACCTTCTTTTCTGTGATTTCAATAAAAAAGTTTTAAAAACCCACAATGAGATACCACTTCATACCCACTAAGTTGGCTATAATAAAAAAAAGACAGACAAAAACAATTATTGGCAAGAATGTGGAGAAATCAGAACCCTCATACATTGCTGGTGGGAATGTAAAATTGTGCAGCCACTTTAAAAAACACTCTTGTAGTTCCTCAAAAGGTTAAACATAGACTTACCATATTACTCAGCAATTCCACTTCTAGGTATACATACAAGAGAATTGAAAATATATGTCCTCCCAAAAACTTGTACATGAACGTTCATAGCAGTATAATCTATAATAGCCAAAAAGTGGAAACAGGCTAAATGTCCATCAACTGATAAATGGCTAAACAAAATGTGGTATATCCATATTATTCAGCCATAAAAAGGAATAAAATATTACAACATGGATGAACCTTGAAGTCATTATGCTAAGTGAAAGAAGTCAGACAAGTGGCCACATAATTGTATGATTCCGTTTATATGAAATGTCCAGAATAGATAAATCCATAGAGACAAGAGGTAGATTAGTGGTTGCCAAGGGCTGGGAAGGAGGGTAAGTGTGACTACTAATGGATATAGGATTTCTTTTTGAGATGATGAAAATGTTCTGAAATTAGATAATGGTGATGGTTGCACAACTTTGTGAATATACTAAAAACCACCCAATTATACACTTTAAAAGGGTGAAGTTTACCTTATGTAAATTATATCAACTAAATAAAAAAAGGTTCCTCTACTTCATTAGGTACTCATTCTGAATACTGCCATTAAAATCAAGATCATATTTAGAGACACACCTGAAATCTGCATTATGTATATATAATATGCACAGTCTTTTGTTATATCTGCTTTTACATATTCATATATGTATATATATGCATGCATGTATAGAAATATAAATAAATAATTTAAATAATATTAAGGGTGTCACAACTAAATCAGTCCCAGCGAACTTGGCCTAGGCAAAGTTAAGTTTTGGGCGGCTCCAGACCGGCCCCCGCGCATCTTAGCCTGATGGGACCGCCCGGAAGTTTATATGACTGCTACCAACATGTGACCAGCGTTGCCGAAGAGAAAAGGCGCAAGACGCGGGTGTGACGTCATTTCGGCGCCATCTTCTTTCTTGGGTGGGGTTTTCAGGCTGTTGTTGTGAAAGATGCCGAAGGTAGTGTCGCGGTCGGTAGTCTGCTCCGATACCCGAGACCGGGAGGAATATGACGATGGCGAGAAGCCTCTCCACGTGTACTACTGTTTGTGCGGCCAGATGGTCCTGGTGCTGGGTGAGTAGTCGGGGTCTGGGGGACGTCTACAAAGAACGAGGCCTCGGCTTCCTAATGGCGACTTTCCTCTGGCTGTGACGTTGGAATCATTTCTCATTGAAGATTGATGGGCTTTCCCTTTTTGTCGAAATCCTCCCTACACATCTCCGCCTCTCTGCAGGGCTTTTTTTCCTTTACCCCCTGTTTTGTGTTTAACCGTTTTTTTTTTTTGTTGTTTTTTTTGTTTTTTGTTTTTTTTTTGATACTGCGTCTCACTGTGTTACCCGGGCTAAAGGGCCGTGGCATCAGCCTAGCTCACAACAGCCTCAAGCTCCTGGGCTCAAGCGATCCTTCTGCCTTAGCCTCCCGAAGAGCTGGGACCACAGGCATGCGCCACCATGCCCAGCTAATTTTTTATATATATTTTTAGTTAGCCAATTAATTTTTTTCTATTTTTAGTAGAGACGGGGTCTCGATCTTGCTCAGGCTGGTCTGGAACTCCTGACCTTGAGCCATCCGCCCCCCCCCTCGGCCTCCCAGAATGCTAGGATTACAGGCGTGAGCCACGGGGCCCCGGCCCTGTTTAACCTTTTAATTATGCATGCAGACCTCCCTTCTGAAAAAATAAACTGTATCTCCCTCTCAACCCATTGTCTTCAGAAACTACCGTCTCTAGAAACTGTATAATTTTTCTGCTGGCTACGTGCTGTAATGGCTCTCATCTTAGAACAAGCGAAAATAAAACCCTCCCTTATTCTGTATTCCCCTCCAGCTGTAACCCCATTTCGTTGCTGCTTTTATAGCAAAACTTCTCAGTAGAAATGCCTGTATTGGCTGTCTCTGAATCCTCATTTCTCATTCCCTCTTTTTTTTTTTTCTTCATTTTTATTTCAGCATATTACCTCATTCCCTCTTCACCTCACTTCAGGCAGGCTTTACTTCTCACCTCATCATCTAAACAACATATTTGTTAAGGTTACTAACTGAACTCCATGTTACTAGTTCCAGTGACCAAGTATCAATGTTTATTTGAATCCTCCTCTCAGTGGTATATGAGATGATCACTCTATTCTTCTTGAAACACATTCTTCATTTGCCTCTGAGACTCCACACTCTTCTGATATTTCTCCTACCTCAGATTTTGCCCCTTCTTGCCTAGCTCCCTCTTCTCTTGGGCTTTTAGACATGCCAAGGCCCTGGAGCTCAGTACTCCTGCCTATTCTTATGCTATACTCACACTCCAGGTGATCTCGATCATTCTCAAGCTTTAAATACCACCTATATGCCGATTAATCTCACATGTTCATCTTTAACCTGCACCTCTCCTCAAACTCCAATTGCCTACTTACCGTGTTTCCCTGAAAATAAGACCTACCCATAAAATAATCCCTAGCAGGATTTCTAAGCATTTACACAATATAAGCCCTAGCCTGAAAATAAGACCTAGTGATGGGCGTGGCTGCGCAGCGTGTCTGCACAACCCATGCATTTCGTGGCAGAGCAGTAAAGAAGACCAGCAGCCCTTCTCATCTGCCCCATGAGAGCTCTGTTGCTCGACATGAGAGTTTGGGGCCAATGGTTCTAAAGGAAATAGAGTCGCAAGAAATTCAGGATGGAATTCGGGGTTTGGAAAGTTATGATGATGTTCCAGATGAAGATGACTTAACTATATTAGAATAAATGTAGATTGTTGTACTGTACTTAAAAAAAATAACACATCCCCTGGATTCAGTTAGCTAGGATTTTGTTGAAAATGTTTGAATCTATATTCATTAGGGAAATTGGTCTGTAGTTTTCTTTTTTTGTTGCATCCTTTCCTGGTTTTGGTATCAGAGTAATATTCGCTTCATAAAAGGTGTTGGGGAGGTTTCCATTCTTCTCGATATTGTGGAATACGCTGGAAACTCAGACTTGTGGGGGGAGGGGGAGAAAGGGCATTCTTTGAAACCTTAAAATTTGTACCCCCATAATATGCCGAAATAAAAAAAATAAATAACACATCCCCTGAAAATAAGCCCTAGGGTGTCATCTTGAGGAAAACTAAATATAAGACACTGTCTATACCTGCTGATTTTCTTCAGGAAAAAAAAAAAAAAAAAAAAAGACACTGTCTTATTTTCAGGGAAACACAATAACATTCTCCACTTGACTGTCTAATGGGCCTCTCAAATGTTTCTTCTTCAAAATTGAGTTCATGATCTCCTACACCCTGCTTCCAACTGTTCCTCTTATAGTCTTCTGTTATAGTCAGTGGTACTGCTATTCATCCAATATTCAACCAAAACTCCAGAATCATTCTTGATTCTCTCTCACATACCTTACATCTATCTATCCAGTCCATCAACAAATCCTGCAGGTGCTTCCTTGAAAATCTGTCCAGGATCTAACTACTTTTTGCCACCTCCATTTCTGCTACTCTAATCCAAGCCACCACCATCTCATCTGGATTGGCACCATAATCTCTTGCTCTCCCTGCCTTCATTCTTTGTCCCTGCTGGTCTATTTTGCAGACAGCAGCCAGGGTCCTGTTCAAAACTGGTGGTTTTGTGTAACATTGAGAATAAAATAAAAATCCATACTAAGACCCTACATAATCCGGCCTCTAGCTACCTCTTAGACTTCATCTCCTAACAGTCTTCTCCTTGCTCACTGCACTCCAGCCACAGTGACCTTATTGCTTTTTGTCTCCATTATGTCAAAAATGTTCCTGCCCCCCAGGGCCTTTGGGATTGGTATTTCTTTTTTTTTTTAAGACTAGTCAAGTGCAGTAGTGAAAAGGGGGTGGAATTGGTATTTCTTCTGCCCCCAAAACTTTTCTCTCATTGTTTCATTACTTCATTCAGGTCTGCCATATTGTCACTTCTTAGAGAACTCTTCCCTGACTACCTTATCTAAAATAGCATCCCTGTTGCTCTTTGTCCTCTTACTCTGCCTAATTTTTCTTGGTAGCACTTATCACTACCTGAGATGACTGTTATCCTCTTATCCTGCCTAATTGTTTTTATTAGCATACATCATTTCCCAAGATCGTATTATATAAGTATTATTTTAAAATATTCAGCCTCTTCTGCTAGAATGTAAGTTTCATCAGTGCAGGGACTTTGTCTGCTTTGTTCTTTGCTGAATTCCCAGCATAATGTTAGGACAGTGCCTTGTACATAGAGGGCCCTCACATATTTATTGAATAAATGACTTCTTAGTAAGAAGATGTGGTGGAAAGAGCGTGAGCTTTTGAATCACTTAGAGTTGGGTCTGAATTCTTGTTCTTCTGCTTATTAGGGGCATGGTAGATCTCTTGCCCTGTCTAAGCCTCAATTTTCCCATCTTTAAAATAGGAATAATAAATGTCTACTTTAGCCATTCATTATGAAGAGTAAATGAGCTAACTATCTAGTGTTCTCTAGTGTCTCTCTCCACCTCCTCTGTTAATCTCTAATCACTATGGCCACTTGACTTTTCTGTGATCCTTTAGGTACTTAATTTGCATCTTATGAATATTCAGTCTGCTTTATAGCTATACCTAATTTGTTTCCTGTATTATGTTTTCATTGTTTTCAGATTAAAACTCCTCCAACTAGGATGGGTCATTTGCATACTATATATCATATCGCCTACCTTCTCTCTCGTTTTCTTAGCACATATCCAGTTTCCCCAATGCCCTCCTCTTTCCAGGATGTTTGATTGTCTCTTCTGATTCTAATGCATTATAACACAAACCAAGTGTACTATAATCTCAGAAATACTTGTAGAAACTGAATTGCTGTGCTGGGAAGGACTTTTTTTTTTTTTCAGCGAGTTCAAACCGCCTGAGCAAGAGCGAGACCCCGTCCTCTATATAAATAAGAATTAATGGCACTGATATATATATAATTAGACGGGCTCATGGTGGGCCATGCCTGTATCCGTACTCGGGGCCAGGATCGAGCCAGGAGTTGGGTGCTGTGAGCTAGGACGCATGGCACTCACTCTGCCTGGCTGGCTGGGCACAAAGCGAACTCGGCTAAAAAAAAAAAAAAAAAAATCACCAGCTAAAGGCTATAACAGACAAAGTATTGCAAGGATGTGAAGAAAAGGGAACTTTATGCACTCCTCCACTAGGGAATGTAAAGTTAGTACAGCCAGTTATGAGAAGCAGTAGGAGTTCACTAAAATTAAAATAAAAACTACTGTGCGATCAGCAACCCACGTTTTAATAATATCCAAGAATGAACACGTCTCAAGAGTACCCTGCCACTCCTGATTTCATTGCAGCATATTCGACAATAGCAAGAGATGTAAACAGATCTAAATCGATCCTCAGGAGAGGATAAAGGATAAAAGTGTACAACTGGTATGTTCTATATACGACTAATAACATTGTGAAATGATCCCACAATTAAGTTAAATAACAAATCCATCACCTTCACAGTCCATTTTCTGTTGTGGGGTGTGGCCCAACATCATCCATGCGGTGAGAACACTTAAGATCTACCCTTTTAACAAATTAAAGAGTACAATATAGTATTGTTAACTATATTCACCATGCGTGACGTTAAATCTCTAAAACTTTCAATGTTAAGAACAGAAGACGTTCGTTATATCATCTGAACAGCCTTCCCATCCCAGCCTTGGCAACCAATCATTGACTCTCTGTTCTAGAAATTGACTATTTTAGACTTCCAAATATAGGTGAGGATCATGAAATATTTTCTTTCTGTGTCTCGGCTATTCCACTACATAATGTCCTCACGTCACACCTTATCCACTGATGGCAGGATTTGTTTTTAAAGCTGCCAATAATGTTCCTGTTGTGTGCTTTTATATAATACAAAGCCAACTCCACAAACAAACCCACTCCTGTGATAGTGAATATTGTCTCATGTCACCAGAGCAGAGACGCTCTTAATCCCATAAATCCATTCATCGAGGGCAGAGGATTAAGTTCCCACACAGTGACCTGGCCAAGCAAGGGAGCACACTGTGGACCCTTGGAAAAGCTGTTCATAGATTAACGCAGTGGCTATCGAACAGAGAAGATTACC